TACAATTGCCCGCGAATACAAAAAAATCCCACGTGACAAACCCGCCGGTGCGCAAGTGCGCGCAATGATTCTGGCGCTCCCTAACGTTCCGCGTACGAACGACCATAGCAATTGCCTCAATGTGCTCTCTCGGCAGGGCCGCAAAGATGGTGGTGGCTTTACGATGAACACGTTTTGTTGTCGGCTACAGAAATGATAACCGCTGTGAGTGCTTACTGTTATCATGAACTGGTGCGTGGGAAGCCTGTCGTTCATACGGGGAAATTTAGGGAACACTAGAATTATCGTGCGCACTGACGCGTGAGCGGGTTTTTCACGTGTATTTTTGTATAACGCCGGCATTTATAATTACCAGAAAAACACTAATACTCAACAGATATAAAGTTCAAATCTATCTATTTGAAGGTTGTGCAAAGCAATCTGCAACTTTCTCGTTGAAATTTTTTATCCATCTTCGTCACTTGAAATGTTAGTCAATTAAACAGACTTAATCAAACAATATTTGAGAACACAAAAAATAGTCCGACTAACTACAGGCAATGATGAGCAACATGCATTTGGTTGCGTCGTAATTACGTGTTCCGGCATTTTTTAAAACTCTGGCTAAAGTTACGTGGGATACCCTGTATAGAAGCGAAAATAACATTGAAGCAGCTGCCTTATGAAGATTGCCGCTATTGGTGGAAACGCATGACGACTACCTGAATTCTCCGTCGTTTTCGATGCCACACGACTGAATATGACATAGGTTGCTAAAGCAACCGAGGTGGACCCTGGTTTCTTTTGCAAACAAGTGCGGTTGCCAAATATGCGCTCACAGGATGGTCAGCCAGGTAGCCTAGTGAAATGCAAGCATTAGGAGGTGCAGATATGAACTGTCGATTGGACAGGACTGCCTTACTTGGGATAACCCATTCATTTGGCCGAAGAGCTTGCAACTTGATGTTTTTGTTTACACTGCATGACGGACAATCTTCGTGTAGTAAAGACAAAACGGAGAGTGGATCGAAGAATTTCATCCGGACAAATATCACGGATGAAGATCGTCTATGCTACGTTTGGTGGCCTTCCCTGGACAAGGACATAGAATATACATGACTAAACTGTCACATTTCTGAAAGTGTGCTCCCAGCCAAAACTGTCGGTTAATTTCAACGCTGGCCCTATCCTGCAAGTGTTTGGCAACACGTCCATGGCGACTAAGCCACAAGGAATGACCCTAATCTGCTGGTGCTGGTGAATGCTTATTCAAAGTTGACTAAGTTGTTCTGCCTACCTGGGACAAGTAGTAAAAAACCATGCAGTGTTTAAAAAATCTATTTGCAGCGTATTGCAAGAATTCGTGCTGGATTATGGTCCGCAATTTACCTCAGATGTGTTTTAAGAGTTTCTGGAACAACGCGGAATGAAGCGTATGAGGACGCCTCCATACCACGCCGCCTCCAATGTAGCTGCAGAAAAGCTGTCTGAACAACCAAGATGGCTATTGAGTATTATCTGACGATTCTGCAGGGTGGAAGCGTATTATACAAGAGCGTCTTTGTCTATTCTTACTGTCATACCGAAGCGTACCAAATTCAGTTACGGCAAAGGCGTCAGCTGAACTCTTGTTGAAGCTTTCGCCCCCTGTAAAGTTTTCTTCACTGAAGCCAAGTTTTGCAGATAACATGCGGCAGCGCCGTAGAAGAGAGGCTGGGCAACGCAACCAGATGGCAGCGGAGTACTTTTTTGTCGGTGACAGGGTGTGTAAAGACGTTGAGAGGTGAAGTAGAATCTTGGCAGAAAGGAAATTTTGAGCAAGTGGTCATTCCAGCTGCTTATCTTGTCAAAATCAAAGACCACGTGCGGTTCACCCACGTTGACCACTTGTGAAAACGGTGGACTGGTGCGGCTGCTGCCACCGCCCTCAACCGTAAAGTACAGTAGCTTGTAAGGACAAAACTATCCACAAACCCTCGGACACGAAGCCTTCTTCGAAATGAAACAATGTAATTTCAGGAAGGGGCTTTGATGAGGGCCCTTCACGAGGGATGTTTAGCAACGAACGCAATGTGCGAATCCATGGCGTAGTCGACGAGGACAAAGATGTTAATTTCCCAAGAACAAAAAGTGACAGCGTGTACTTCGGTTAATGATAGACCTATGTACAGCACCATGCTTACGGAGAAGGAACCATACCCCAAGGACTCCCGAGAGATTTCAGCCTGAAGACATCAAGGAAAGCTCTACTTAGTACAACAACCTTTTTTTTTTCTACTGAGTAGGGAAGAGTGTTTTGCCCAAATGAAACGCCGGGAGAGTCGCTTCGGCGTCTGTAGCGCGAGCTAAGAGGCGCGTGTTCGTTGTGAATAAAGATTCATTATTCCCGGCACCTCCCGACTGTTTAGATACACATGTCTTTGCTGTGTTGGCGTGAAGCCTCGGACGCCTTCGCCTGGTCGGCTCTCTAAGCGTACGCCGGATCGAATGCATGCCCTGGTGAAGCAACCATGACAGACTTTCTTTATCTCCGCTGAGTAATCTTTCTCATTCCTGGACGCGTGGTGTTTGCCTTTAAAACTTCGACGCACCGCATTAATTTCCATCAGTTTCGCCCAATGTGGTATCCGTTACCAAAAAAAAAGAGTAAATCAATACGTTCTTTGTTATTCCAACAAAAAAGGAAGGCGTTACCGCTCTACGTTACCTACGAAAAAGTAACGCGTTACCTTTACTAAAATAGTAACGGACGTTACCTCTGCCATTACTACACAATGGTAAACTTTAATCAGTGTGTATTTGTTACAGGAACTTAGAATCTGAATTTTTTCTATACTAAATTTATGTTTCACATAAAACTTTCAACCGAAAAAGGAAATATATTCAATATGCTCATTCAACGAGTAACATTTGTAAAATGTGCAGGACCTTAGCAATCGTATAGTGGTTTAAAGCTTCTTGCTACATGTGGTAGCTTGTGACTCTGTGGCACATGGCGAAGCAGTTTTTCTCAATGCGACTATATACACAATATCAGATTCAATCATCCACGCTAGTGACCAGGAAATCGTCACTGAACTCTAAAGAAATTTGCACTAATCGGCTTTTTCTAGCCGAGTCCGAACAGACCCTCCAGTGGCGATTGTCGAATCCGACACTGGTGGTCCTTGGCCTCGGAAACCGCCCGCCGGTAGGCAATCGCAGAGGCCTGAGTTTGCGTTTTTTTATTAGGGGAGAGGGGAGATTTGCACGTTTGTGACAACAGATGTCTTTTTGTGCACTCCTGTTGAAAAGTACTCTATATGCTACTCGAGATTTCTGTTTGTCCACTCCTGTTTAGAGTTTCTATATATAACGGGTTCGAATCCTGGCTGCGGCGGCTGCATTTCCGATGGAGGCGGAAATGTTGTAGGCCCGTGTGCTCAGATTTGGGTGCACGTTAAAGAACCCCAGGTGGTCTAAATTTCCGGAGCCCTCCACTACGGCGTCTCTCATAATCATATAATGGTTTTGGGACGTTAAACCCCACACACCAACCTAGAGTTTCTATATGATAGCATATACTATCATATACTATAGTAGCTTTACTCTTGTCATCTGGTTTGGGCCACCAAAACTTATGGCACTTGTCTTATCAATTCCGGCGCGCATGCGCGGACGAGATAAACAGAAAAGGGCATTTCTAATGAGTTATGACGCGCTGAAGAAAGGTTTTACGGCTTAGTCGCGAAAATATATTTGTGAATAAGCATTTCTTGTTCTCTTAAGCCGGTATAGTTATAGCCAAAAATTGCGAGTGGTTTTGTGGGCGTACTGAAAAGCAGTCTCGCTGGTTCAGGAGTTCACTAACCAAAAACGCAGCTGCCGTTGCGGATAGAAGTCTATGAACGCAGTCGACATTCTGAAGGCCTCTTAAGGTACCTTTAAAGGCCCCGGGTTTCACGACAATAAAATTAAAAAAAAAGACGAGCCGCCGTCCCCGTGACGTTGCCCCCACTGTCTTTTTTTGTAGATGCCGATGTATGCATGTTTGTTTTTCCTTCAAACCTATGGCAAATACACACTCGGTGAGATTGGTCAGGAATGCGTAGTTGAAAGTTTAAAAGGTGATTTGAAGAAGAGCGTGAGATGTTCATTATGTCTCTACAATGGTTTATACTCTCTCACCGGGAATGGCCAAGGTTTGCTTTGATTGATATGTGTGGTTTAACGTCCCTAAACTACTATATTATTTTGAGAGACGCCGCAGGGGAGAGCTTCGGAAATATCGACCACCTGGGGTTCTTTAACCTGCACCCAAATTTGAGCACACTGGCTTACGTCATTTTCGCTTCCATCGAAAATGCAGCCGCCGAAGCTAGGATTTGATCCCGCGACCTGCGAGTCAGCAGCTGAGTACCTCAACCACTAGACCGCCGCGGCGGGGCTTGGCCAAAAATTGATTACATGATTATTTAGACAATTCAAGTATTGAATATTGATAACAAAATGAAATAAAGAACGTACTGAAAAAGCGAAAGAGCGCAATAATCTGTTTTTAATATTTAACCATTCAGATCAGCCAGTATAGCTTTTATCTTGAATAGAGGTTGCACTGAGGGCTACATAAAAAAACTCTGCTTTGAATTAGCTCATTGCATCTATATTATACTCACACAAGTAGGAGTTAATAGTCGCATTCGTTTTGTTTCATGAAGGAAACTGCTAGTGGTTCTTTATTCGAACACGTTGACTTGATCTTAATGATATCATCGCCGCTCCTCGTCTTCTACACAATTTTCAACAGGCTTATTCATGCTGCCCTATTTTTCTTTTGCAGCGTAACACACGAATTTCTGAAAAATGAAGTAACACCCCTTGCGGCAGTCAGCCATTCATTTGGTGGCCTCTAGCTGTATCTTTATATTGCTCAAGGTTTGCTAGCGCGCTGTGTACTAAAATTTTGGATTTGGTAAAGAAGCTAGAGAAAAAAAAGCCAGAAAGATGGTGACTCGATCGTTCGTGAAGAAGAGATTATCTGCATGCTGTTATTATTTCAGTTGTTTTATTGAAGAACTGTTCAGGATTTCAGATTTGTGGCTAGTGCATCACTCGTACGTTGATACGGGTGCTGGTGTGCTTGTGAATGCTGGTTCCACATCGTCGGTCGTCCTATAAAAGTCTCGGTACAAATAAAGTATGCACCTAATGCCAGCATTAGTCATTCTTTGTAACTGTCCTCTCTGGAAATAGTATAGAAGTATTTTAAAGCGACATACAGAGCAAAGTATTAGAACATAGAATTTTTAAAGTTATAATAATATTTCACTTAGAAAACAACTGACCACTTTGCAGTCGACAACGTAGATTTAGATTAGGCCTTTCAGCAGTAACTCAACTCGCTGAATTAACAGAATAAATTGCTAATGCAATTGATGGTGGAGATTAAATTGACGCAATTTTTAAAGATTTTTTTTCAAAGCGTAATTTGACGTTATTTTGCTATAAGTTCTACTTACAAACATATTAGGATTTGCTATATAGACTAAAATATTTACTTGGATCTCCAGTATTCCGACAAATCGAGCTCGAAATCGGTCCATAGCAAAACAAGCTTTCCAGCATCTTCGGGTCTACTCAGGGGTCCCGCAGGGGTCTCTTTTTGCTCCTATTCTATTTCCTATGTATATCATAATATTCAATTCAGTATTCATGGAATGGTCTAAATGTGTTTTTTTTGCACACAACTGTGTAGTGCACACAATAGCCCGTCATCCAAGGGATCAAGTACAACTGAATACATCATTGCACTCTATCTGTTTGGTGCAATACATAGGGCATGAGACGTAACGTGTCAAAAACCATCTTTATTACATTCACCAGCAAGAAAAATATAATAAATTTCAGTTATACCCTTGGTAACACAACACTCAAAAAATGCCATCATAAAATACTCGGGCGTTATTTTCACATCTGATTTCAATCGGGAACTTGATATATCCGCCATCTGTCAAACCACCAAACGCAGACTATCATTCTTACGAAGAAAGCTACACAACACTCCACGACGTGTGAAAATAAATGCCTACAAAACACTTGTTGGGCTTTCATTAGGCTGATTTATTCTGGAGCCCTTACCAAAAAAGCTTAACTGATAAAATTAAACGCATGCAAAAACTAGCCGCCACATGTATATACTTTGAGTATTCTAGACAATGTAGCGTGTGTGAGCGAAACCAAGCCTCGAACAACTTTCACAATGAAGAATAGTTTACAAACTTAACGTCATTCATCTTTAGTCCCACGATCATTTCGAAATTCCGAAGTCACGTTCTTACGTCAGCCGTTTCTGCACTCATCAAGAACTAACCGGATTAACAAAATCAGACAACTTCAAGACACATTAACACGGGCAAATATTCATTCTTCCCTCGGCAATTGGTCAGTGGAACATGTTGCCGGATAGTGTTATGAACTGCACTACTGTGAAATAATTTGTTGCTGAGGTGCGAGTCATTCATTTCGGTTCATAATTCTCATTTTTTTTCTTTGAAATGTTAATTTTTTTCTGTAACCACTCCTGCAAGGGCTTCCTGAGCCTTCAGTTTGGTCAAATAAAAAATAATGGCTTCATGTTTGAGTAAGAGGTGCAGCATCAACAGAAAAAGATTAGCACAAGTGACCGGTTGCCGGTGCGCCAAGATTGTGATACGTGGCGCTGCACTTTTCCCGAACCCGCCGATATCTGAAGTGCCAAACACATTCCTGATTTTTGAAATGGAGGAATGACCGATGGAAAGCCCTTCAACAAGCAGCTTTTTTAGGACAACTGCTATAGAAATATGGTTTATCGAAACTGCAGCCAAAATAGAAAAATACGTGGCTTGTACCTCTTTTTAGAAATCAGTATAACACGAAAGTGAAACGTGTCTTCACAGAGGTAGTTGAGCATTTTTTGTGCATTGTTTCGCCACGAAGAAAGGGATGCTACAGCAATAAACAGCCACGTCACACGAAGAACGGCAAGCAGCTTGAAATGTGCAGCGCGCACCTCAAGCAGAAGGCACGCACGAAATGAGTATACACAAGACGAGCATGAACAAACTGTCACAGCTCTACACTGAGAGGACGCTGCTCAAATAGAGAGAAGGACGCACGAAACGAACGCACAAGTATGCCCAGGAGGAGATCGCACAGCTGGCACAATTATACCTTCTTCGTGCGTGAGCAGCGCGCTCCTTTCATAAACGTGGCCGCGCGTGACGTGACCTTCAGGTTCTCTTCAACCACTGTAACGTTAAAGCAAACTTACCGTGCAAGCACAATATGTTGAAAGTCCCCGAATACCAAGATAAGCGCGCTCATGAGTGAGCGAACAATCACGCAAGAGAACATCTATCACAACGCGCAAGGTGGTGCGAGACGACGACCTTTCGAACATTGGCGCCCAACAGGTGCCTTTTGCGTTATCTCGCTACATATGACGAAAACGCACTCAAGTTGTTAAGCTCTGAGGACCGCCAACAGTGCATGGTGTATGTAAATGACGTGCCGTTAAACAAATCAACAACGTGCGTTTAGTGGCCTAGTGGTTAGCATCCCTCGCCGAGGAGCGAAAAGTTATGTTTCGACACCCTGTTACGAAAATTTTTCGTCTTGCTTTTATTGCGATAGAAAATAAATGGACACTCTCAGCTGGATTTCGCCGCCGGTCTCGGCGTCGACGTCATGCACCGTATATGTGTACCTATCCATATATATGAAAACTCAAGAAAAAAATGCAGAAAAAGAAGACTTCGGTACGCTGATGGAACGTGAGTCCTCCACGTCGTGATTGCGAGGCGTTAACCACTAAGCTACTGATAGGTACACCCCTGTACGTTCAAACGGCAAGCCATTTATGTCTACGACTTACCGCTGTTGGCAGGCATCTAGGGGTGGGGGGAACTATCGTGTTTTCAGCATTATCAGCAAGATGGCGCTATGAGCGCGCTGCGACTCTAATCTCTGACGCGTACTTTCGCCCGCGGGGAGAAGGGCAAGGGACAATCTCTGGCAAGGCCTTATCTCCTAGAGGGGAGGATGATACGTCTTGCACTGGACTGATTCTGTTGTAGTTACGGGGTGCATGAAGGTCACTGCAATCATTGCACAGCCTCCGTTTGCTAAAAGGGCATGCTTTTCAGACACAGCTAAGTAACAATTGAGACTCTTATTCGCATTGATCTGTACCTGTGAGTACGTTTGTGCGTGATAAACGCGAGGCACGTTTTGATCTGCTTGCCATTCTGCGTGGGACCTTCCAATTTGTTGCTATCGCGTTCATTTCTTTGCCTTTGCGGCAAAGCTGTGACTTTTCCCTTGGTCTGTTAGTGTATATTTTACAACGTCATATCCATGACGTAAATATGTTAGCAAGACCGTGGTGGACCCTGGCATGAAACATTTGCGTTCTAAAAGAAGCTGTTTCTATAGCCACACGTGCCGATAAGCAAGGAACAAGTGTGGCTCTTCTTCCTTTGAAATGTGGGTTTTGGCCCTCCGGCCTCCCCTGATTGGAGAAAATGTTATGGGCTTGGCAATAGCGTGAGCGGCGCTCGAGAACATCACAGCGCCGCGTCTCAAAATGTCGCAGCTCCAGCTATCGTTCACGTGTTATTATTTTCGCGTTGATACTGTACAACAGGGCATATTTATTGCGCATGTATTGATGTAAGCACTGTCAAAAGTTCAATGAATAGGACTTATGGGGCGTGGCATCTTTGCTTATCTTAAGGTCTCAGATCGAGCTCGCAGAAGAGGTTTTTCTAGTGCTGTTTTTATTGAGATTGCATTTTTTTGTTATTTTGCCGGTTTGTGTGGCCTAACACTTGAAAGTGTGTACTGAAGGAAGTAATCGATAGAGCCGTACATCGCTCTATCGATTACTTTCTTCAGGTTATGAAGTGCTGCAGGCTGCTTTCCTCTAATGAGGAAAGCAGCCTGCAGCACTTTATAACCCGTAAATATTTTGAGAGTCAGCGCAAGTCGTTGTTGCGACATCCCCAGTTAATTAGGAACGAGTCGTTTTCATTGAAATCAGTTTTGACTGGTGAGCAAATGTGCAAGAAAAAATGTACTGTAGATTTCTTATTTTACGTTTAAGTTGGGGTGACTCTGTGTACTGCACCAAGCCGTATATCACCGATGTATCCATATTGAAAAAGAAATTGTGTCTGTTATATATATAATTAAACAGTAGCACGTTTCATTGTTAATACACTTGTACCATGCATTTGCTTTTACTTACTGTAAATACTTTCCGTAATGCGAATTCTGCTTGCTAGAAAAACAAAGAAAACAGAATAAATGTTAGAAATTCAGGTAAAACACAAATGTATTTTCCAAGTGAGAGTACAACCATAGCCCGAAGGAGGAGACATTGAAGTATCGTGATGGTGTAAATAAATGCAGCACAAAGACATGCATGCGCATGCAGAACTTTTTGTGCTTATTTAGGCAGCATAAAATGTCATCAAACTAGTGGAGAAACTTTGTTGCCAGAACTTGCTAGTTGTTTATGTCTTGCTCACTACTGTTGAACAATGTTTTCTTTACAGTACCCTTTACGCTACGTTTTTATTAGTGACATGAACGCCAAGCAACATTGTTTTTTTGAGAAGCATATCCGGTCGAATCCTTCCGGTTATAAGCATATTCACAAAACACGCTAAAAAACAGAACTAAACAGTAATTGATATGGCGCACGTGAGAAGCTGGATTGAAAACGCCCTATATTGGAGGATAATTTTGCTGTGGCCACGCAGCACTTCTTCTGCAGTCGGAAAATCCTGCCGATTGGCAGTCAAGGCCTCTGAGCGCATGTGAGTAAAACGATACGGTGCAGTTCGCTTTTAAATGTTCCAACTACTTTTCGAGGCCAGTTAGAAATAGTTGCCCCTTTGCTTCACAAATGATGCCTTAAACCCCAAGTCCACGTCCTTTGGCTGATTGGAACATTGTGAGCTATATGGTTCTTGCGACCGCCGTAGGATGGTGTGACGTGCTCACTAGCTCGCTCATGATCACACTGAAAATGAGCCGCGCGTTCCGAGGGAGGGGGGCGCGAAATGCTAAAGGTTTTTGGGACGCGTGGACGTGCGGTGAAAAAAAGGCAATGGGATGGTTTGAATCGCAACTCTCGACTGAAGTTTAGTTTTTTTCTTCGCTGTCCTCACCTTGCCTTTCCCCGCGTAGCCAGGGTTTTGAGTAGACCAGGGGCGAACTGGTTGATCACGACAAGGTCATAACGCGCGCTGACGAATGGTCGCAGTTTCTAGACATCTTATCAACCCTCTTTCCCCGTAGCTTTCAGCGCGTTCGCTGGTACGAAAGGAGAGAAAAAGTATTTAAACATATCGATTTCACTCCAATCGTACTTGACTAATTCCAAAAATTTTTAATTCAGCCCATTCGTGAGGCAATAAAATTCCTTAAAGTAGCCATTGGATGAGCCTACTTGGAAAAGCGTCTCGGTGCCATTTTTGGGATCAGTTAACTGTCGGAATAGTAATGAAAGCTGGTTGAGTTCCTATGCTAGATAATCGTTCTCAGCTAAAGTCGTTGTCGCTCCTGGTGAAGCACATCCCAGCCAAGTGCTTTTTATTACGTGGCATCGTATCAAGGAAGTGCACGAAGTACAAAGCTAACTTGAGATTTACAGCAATGCACACGAACGCCGATTTGCGAGTGCCAAGTGAATAATTAGGGTCACCTTGTAAGCAGCCGCTTATGATTACCGCTTCTCGTTGCTACAAGTCTGGCCGCTATAGGTGCAAGTGTATTGTTATAGAAAAATTACGTCGATATGACGCGAACAGTTGACGCAGGAAATAAAGTAGGTGCATTACTTGGCGCTAATTTTCGCGTTTCAATCCGTGAATACTGTAGCTCTTTTTACTGGTGCCGTGATAGATTAATAACTTTCGTGGATCCGTTCTTACCGGCGTGCAAATCCACCATGCCAGTTGGTTGTAATCCAAGCCATTGTACGTCATAACCCTGATCATTCGGTTTTGGTCCTGAAACGTTGACATGCGTACAAATCAAATTTAATGATTGAGAAAACCGGGACAATGTTTTTTTATTCTTGCTTGTAGGTTGTAAATGTGAATGAGCAGGCCAGCGAATGTGGCCAGTCGCGAAAATTGTGCCTTTTGTGCCTTCAATTGAAGTGGCAAGTGATGGCCTAATAGGGCTCTCTTGTATTTTTTCGACGACTTTCTTGCCACGCTGTTTTTCTCTGCGGGCACAAAACCACGATGCGAGAAAAAAACATTCATGTGGCTAATATTTACTGCTTTCAACTCTCCTAGAGTGGCTACTGTATAAAAAAAATAGAAGGTGCACACGCCACGCAATATTTTATGATTTCATGGTTTAGCGAAGCCCCCCTTTTGATATGCAATGCGTGCCTCTCCGCAGCTGTGGACTTACGAAATGACGTGGATTTTCATATCCAGCTGTATTGTTGAACATTTTATGCTCGGAAGTTTGAAATTTTATTTATATTGCACTATAATTGAGCTTGAAGTCAATGAATATATAACTTATATATGACTGAATTCAAGCTTGTTCCAGCTGCTTATTCATCCACTTCTAACGAAATTATCCAATTGTAAGTCTTTAAAACAGGAAATATTTCCATTCGCCTCGGTGGAACAGTGGCTACGGTGCTAAGCTGCTCACCTAAAGTTCGCGGCTTCAATTCCAGCTGCGGTAGTCGCATTTAGATGGCGGCGAAATCGTAGAAGCCTTACCGTGTGATGTCGCTGCAGGTTAAAACACCAGATGGTCAAAACTTCCGGAGCCCTCGACTACGACGTCTCTCATAATCATATCATCGTTTTATGACGACGTAAAGCGCCAGATATTAAAGTTGGAAATAATTTCATTTCATTAACCTAGTAGAAGATGGAACATTTTGCACGTTGGTTGGTGTTTTGGCGGCTGTTGGTGTGTCATGCCTGAGTGCTTTTCGTGAGTGGGCCTCTAAAGAGGCGCGAAAGGCAAGCATGACTTTTTTTTTTTCAAATGTGGATTGTTAGAGTCAAATTCTAGAAGCCCCGTAGCAAACCGTTCATTGCAAGAGAAATGTGCAGTTTGAAAGAACGTTAATAATAATATGTCGGGTTTAACGTCCTGAAACTACCATATAATTATGAGAGACGTCGTAGTGGAAGCTCCGGGAATTTTGACCACCTGGGATTCTTTGACTTGCACCAAAGACGAAGCCCATGGGCCTACACTATTGTTGCCTTCATAGAAAACGCAGCCGCTGCAGCCGGAATTCGATCCCGTGACCTGTGGGTCAGCAGCCTAGTACTTCAGCCGCTATAGACCACCGCGGCGGGGAGTTGGAAGGAAAGTTTAAGGTCACTTTGTAAATTGCAAAATGTGTTTGGCTAAAGGCTCTGATCATTCGACTAAGTAGGCCCTGGCTATTTTTTGTGCATGTATAGCATTCGGTATAAGGTTTGATATTGGGGAATTCAGATTCTTGGGGCCCTTCTCCCAACCACTTGTCGTGCAATCGCTTGCCAGGGCACCTAGACACTTTTCTTGTGAAAGACAGTCGCGTGAGCTCGTTTCCGCTGAAGCCGTAAGTACTGTTTGTCGGTGTATATGAGCGCTACACTCAATAATATTCAAAGGTTCGTGGTTACTGTTCATAATGCTATGTTTGGTTGAGCAGCAATGTCAGAATATTGAATGAAATTTACAGAGCTTTCAAGCTTACGAAATAAAATCAACAACACAATTGTGTGTCCGTATCATGACGGGGGCAGGTATATCTGGACATGGTCGGATGAATGAGCGAGGGCATAAGGTATTATAGGCTTTAGACTTATGGTCCCGTTCTAGTAGTCAGCATAACTTTAGTGCTATTTAAACCGCCCGCTTCTGAGAACAGCTTTGTGAAGAACTCACCATGCCCGCAGTGCCCGTAATCCGACGCAGTCGTGCTCATATTCTGGACATTGTCAGTTTCTGCCATGTCGATTTCTTCCACCGTTCAACGCTGGTCGACAGGCTTAAGTTGCCGCCATTGCAAGATTTAACAAGATGGCCAAAGTGACAGTGTCCAGGATAGCACGCCTTAGCATCTTTGATGTAGCTTGGTTAAAACAAAAATAGCATCCTTCTCTAGGGTAATGTCTAGAGGTTCTTTTTTTGCGTGAAACAGACTCGAATGCACGAGTAATATTTTATTCTGTTTTGTAATGTAATGAAATGTTTTTCAATGGGTTGCTGAATTACTTCTGATGAGAGTGGTACTGACACATAATTTCATGGTTTAGATGGCTTGCTGGATTAATTCTCGTACACATGCGTATGGTATCTACCGAATATCAACAGCGAATATTGCTTGGAAGGAAACTTATGTGAAGACAAATGCAGTGTGCTTTAATTGGACGAAGACGTGAGCAGGGCTGCCAAGCGATGAATACAAAATATCCCCCACAGACTATGAAATCTCCGTTTTTTTACCGAAAGTTCCCTCGGACATAATAATTAAAGCTATTGATGATTGCTTGCGTCACTGGAATTTCTGTTGTTTAACCATTACATTTTGTAAGAAGTGCTTCTTTAGTATAATTTTACCAGTACATTGTGGGAACAAAATGGAAGTAATGGTGATAGATGGCAGTGCTGAATTACTCTTCGTAATGGGCGCCAGCTTCCGCCACCTTGTTTAGAAGTTTCTCCACTTACACTCTCGCCTGATTTATAAATAGGAAGAACGAAAAGTGAGCCCCCCAAATCTGCATCCATTGCACTCTCCTAGCAGCGCTGGGTGTTCACTTTGCGGCATATGCACCATAACACACACAAATGGGAGAGGGGGTGGTGGTAACCTAAGTGGTACGCATACTGAACTCCACACACAAATTAAACATACACGTTAGCACACAAATACATATAAGTGGAAATACGAGTGAACCCTAGCGCTGCCTCGCATCACCACATGGTTCTCTGCAAACTGGATTCGCACAAGCGGATAGAGGAGGAATTTTCGCAGTGGACGACGCATCACATGACGCAAACCTTATGAAAACTCCCCACCTTCGTGCCGTCCAGCTTCCTCCGCTTGTGTCACGAATCCAAATGGGTCGCGCATGAAGTCGTTTCGAACAGCATTCCATCTTAAAATGCCCTCTGGTACCCAGTGCGCTAGCAGGATAAGCGTTCTGTAAGCGTGAAATTCGAGAGTATGCACGCGAATTCCGTGAGCCACGCTCCGGCTGTGTGTATGCAACGCCTCCGTGGTTTTGTCACGTGTGAATGCACTTTTAGTGAGAGATTGTCAAATTGTTCTAAAGATGATGGTCTTTCTTGGGGACCTTCAATGCATTATCTGTCTGTCTGTCTGTCTGTCTGTCTGTCTGTCTGTCTGTCTGTCTGTCTGTCTGTCTGTCTGTCTGTCTGTCTGTGTTTACATTTGCACATTGGTCTGTCCACCCTTAACGGTACCCAAAACGGCACCAGACAATACCCCAAACGGCCGACCACATCCGGAGCGCCCACCAATATTGCTTAAAATTCAGCGTTCATACTTGTGCGATTGTCAATTAAAAACAATTAACCGGTATCTGCATGTTTCACTGCAAAAGTCGTCGAAAGACGATAGTGTTGCGTGTGGAGAGAGTGAACAAAACGTTTATTTGATGTTCTGCGCGAGAAAAATTAATTGTATTGTATTAATTGGTTAATTGTATTCTGGAAGCGCTGCGTTAGAGAGTCTTGATCCATGCAGCGAAGACGAACGAGTGCATCTAGACACGTTAGACACAAGCGCTATCTGGCAGTTATCTTCGAAAACAAAGGAAGGCGTGAGTGCCCGCGAAGAAAGATGTGCGCCTGTCTCGGAAGCGATAAGGAGTAGAACTCAAAGCGACCGGCAGGTGCCACCATCGTGCCGTCTTGGCAAAGCTTTGGAAACACTTGCCTTTTTGAACATCGCGTTTAACTGTCAGCGCAGCGGGATAAACGCTATGGTCCTTGAATTACTTGTGTAAGCCTTCTCTAGTATAAAGGCACACATATATAACATCGACGTGTTGTTGTTGTGCCTCAGATATGCGCAATAATTGCTTTTTAATTGACAATTGAACAAGTATATACGATGAAACTATAGCAATATTGGTGGGTGCTGCAGATGGGGTGGCCCGTTTGAGGTACCTTTTTGTGCCTTTAGGGGTATCGTTACCACGGACAAACAGACAAATAGACAGACAGAGAGACAGACCAAAATTTTGGCGAGGAAGGTCCCCAAAAAAGACTCGTCTTTAAAAGCAATTATTGCGCATATATGAGGCACCACAAAAACACGTCAATATTCTATATGTGTGTCTTTTACTAGAAAAGGCATACATAAGTAATTCGATGTACCGTAGCATTTATCACGCTGTGCTGACCATGCAATGCTTGCACGAAAAGGCAAGTGTTTCCACCGCTTGCTAAGACGACACGGTGGTAGCACCTACCCGTCGCCTTGCGTTCTACACCTTATCACCTACGAAACGGGCGCGAATGCCGCGCGCTTCGTTTTCCAAGACAACTACCAGATAGCGCTCATGTCTCACGTGTGACGTGACTTGATACGCTCGTTCGCCTCCGCTGCACGCTCGAGGCAGTCTAACGAAGCGCCTCCAGAACACCATTCACCTATTTTCTTGCGCATAACATGAAATAAACGTATTGTTTACTCTCTCCAGAACCAAGTCTATTGTCTTTCGACGATATTCGCAGTCGAACATGCAGATACGGGGACATTCTTTTTGTCTCATTGGCACCAGCAGACTGCAGTTCGGCAGCTGCTGGGGTGTCCACGGCTGCATTCTCAGGAAAGTCGTCATGACAATGACGGCGACGCCGTCGGGCAGCACGTGCTGCAGGCGAAATAACGCGAGGGAACAATGCAGACACCGCGGAAGTGCGTCAAAGTGCTGTGTGCCCACGTGGTCCAATTGTTGACCATGTCGCACACACTAAGTGGTCGTTCTCGGAGCTCACCTAAAACGAAACTGAGACTGGTCGGTAGTAGAGAGATCATAATTATCTGTATCGCGCTGGCACACGCGATGTGTCTTATTTTAACCAGCCGGCTGCCAGCAACGTCTCGCAAAAGAAAACGCGAGTTTCACTGCCTCTTTAATTGTACTTAAGCCCTACTAGTCAGGGTAGCTGTTCGTGGCTACTTTACGGCATTGTATGGATTTAAAATTTTTAGGTTAGCACCATGGCTACTTCCTGGCTGCATTGCACATCTATTTGGGCACAATTAGTAACCATTTTTCCAATCACTTGAAAATAAGTTAACAAGTAAGTCTAATCAATAGCCATTGTTTCCCGTGGAGGTCAATGTGCGTGCATGTCCTACCCACGCCAACGGGCTGCTTTGCATCGGGGCACGCAGCGTGTGATGCAACTGTAAAAAAAGACGCGAAGGATTTTCGCGCGTGTAGGAAAAGGCGTGGCTAGCACACTGATTGATTGATATGTGGGGTTTAACGTCCCAAAACCACCATATGATTATGAGAGACGCCGTAGTGGAGGACTCCGTAAATTTTGACCACCTGGGGTTCTTTAACGTGCACCGAAATCTGAGCACACGGGCCTACAACATTTCTGCCTCCATCGGAAATGCAGCCGCCGCAGCCGGGATTCGAGGCTAGCACACTGCTCATGCTGCCCGCCTTCTATGCTTATGCTCTGCACAAATTTTCTAATGCTGAAGCTTATAGAGTTTGTTCTAGTGTGAACATGACAAGAGATACCTGCAGTGAAACAAAGCTGGACTGTTAATCTTGAACTAGATTTCACTACTTCAAGCTAGACTGGTATTATGACAACTCTGCGTAAATGTCGGTCTGCGGTTTCAAGGAAACACAGATTCAACGTTTAGTGTTATTTTGGAGTTGTTCACCCGAAATCACTTAGGCAAGAAGTCCATTCAATGTAGAAAAGTGCGTGCATAGGCATTGAATTCATGTGATTTCATTTATTTGCAGCTTACCTGTGGCTTGAACAAACACCAGGATGGTTAATATTGTGCGGTTTATGTTTTCATTATTGTAGTTATATTATTTATTATTGGATAATAAATACTCTACTCATATTATCACTTTTGTTCTATTTAACTACAAATTAGGTGGTAAATTTAAGCGGCACAGCTATTTTGACAACATTTAGCTTGTATTTTCAGCTCTTTGTTAAGCGAAGCATGTAGCCACAGACTTGTGTGACTCATGGTGTTCGAAAAAAAAAAAAACTTTTCTTACCGTCAGATGGCGCGCGTGCACTAGAGAAATAAAAAAGAAAGAAAATAATTTTGTCTGTGTGAGGCTGGCGTCTCAGCTTGTGTTCCCTAGGTCTGAGAGCGCGCACGTTTAGCATGGCCACGCGCCCATGCCCGCCCAGATTCGCCCAATGTAAACGGAACTCATGCGTAATAATGCGTTCCACGGACGATGCAAAATACAATGGGAAAGCGGGACACTATCTGCGCGGGCTTCATTGCAAGGTTTCGTGTTAGCGGACTGAAAGTGATCTCCTGGAAAACACGTTTAATGTCGGTATCGTGAATCGCACGTTCCAGGTAAATTTTCACTTCAAAAATATTGAATTCCGTAACCGCATTTTCATGACCACGTGAAGGTTCCTTCGTTGGGCCATTCAAGCTGACGAATGTTCGAAAGATTATGAAACACTCTCTTTGTACCAAACGGTACCCCGTGGCAAGAAACGCATCTAATCCAAACACCGCTCTTTATTTATGTCAGCTATTGACCAACAGTATGCTTTCTGCTGTTCGATGTCAAACAACATGGGCCAGCACCGCCGAAGAGAGGAATTTCTGTATGAAAAGAGGGCGCTGCAGAAAATGGCAGCATCGCCTCCGCTTGCGAGAACTCCTCGTCGCGATCACTTGCAAGATGTGGTCGAGCTTTTCATGACTGCGTATAGCTTACGCAGGATGTGCTTTCTCACCGAACCGGTTTTCAGATTGTGACTCTTGCCTTGACGATATTTAGACCCGTACTTTAAAAAGTATGCCCCGCCGCAGTGGTCTAGTGGCTAAGGTACTCGGCTGCTGACCTGCGCGTCGCGGGATCGAATCCCGGCTGCGGCAGCTGCATTTCCGATGGAGGCGGAAATGTTGTAGGCCCGTGTGCTCAGATTTGGGTGCACGTTAAAGAACCATAGGTGGTCAAAATTTCCAGAGCTCTCCACTACGGCGTCTCTCATATTCATATGGTGGTTTTGGGACGTTAAACCCCACAAATCATCATCAACTTTAAAAAGTATACCTGAGCTGATAATGCAAGCACATCATGGAAACGTGTCTTGTTGATATCACTGTCATTGAGGATAACGTACTCACGCAATTGTCCATAAAACGTGTCATCACTGTGTAAATACATTTTTGTCTATAGCACAACAACAACAACAACAACAACAACAACAACAACAACAACAACAACAACAACAACAACAACAACAACAACAACAACAACAACAACAACAACAACAGAGAAGACAGCAAACAAACGCTGTGGATGACGTGGAGTATACTGCTACTAAAACGACTACTGAAAATGAGCAGAAAGAAGCGCACCCCGCCGCAAGTTATCAGTGAAATAAAAAGCAAATTGTCATTTGCTGTCCGCAGTCGATTAGACTACTACTTTCACGGTACAACCTGGCTTCTTGAAAAACGCGCCGGAAAAATTTTGATGGTTCGTAAGCTAAAATAAGAGACCTGTCAGTGCAATGATGGTGGACTTAAGTGCTGTAAAAAACGCGAATGAAAGCACTCAACATTTCAACTACCATTTCCACAGTTTTTTTCACAGTGACATGTACGTAACTTTTGTTCATTCGACTGTGTTTGAGGCGCACGAAGTGGACTTCATTTCATACAACGATTTTGTGTCAATGCTTTTGAACCTGAAAATAACAATATAGTGTGGCCCAGATGATATACCAAATAACTTTCTGAAGCAATATTTGGAAAGTAGATTCGTAGATTTCTATTTATACTATACAAAGCTTCTTTGTTATTGAGTAATATGCCCAGTGATTGGACGATGACTCGAGTGGTGCTGAAGGGCAATGGTTTATCACTAGAAAATTATCAACTAATCTCACTAACTTCATCTTCCTGCAAGCTAATTGAAAAGATTACCGCCAACATTATCTAAAATATTTGGGAAAAAATGAATAGAAACAAATTAGCAGCATGGAATCAGAAAAAATAATGCACGTCGACACTACTTTTGAGTGGAATTCATACATTTGCAAAAATATTAGATAGTAACGGTCAAGTCAATGCTCTTTTTATATTTCAGTAAAAAAGTTGACAGAGTTGTTTATTATGAACTTATTAAGAAACTTACAGGATAAAATATTCCGAACGTTATAGTTTCTTGAATAGCAGTTTATCTTTCGGATTCTCTGCAGCATGTCTCTATTGAAGGCAAGAACATGAGCTGCTTTCCAGTAACATCCGACGTACTCCAGGGAAGTGCCCTGAAGGCATTGTTGTGTTTGCTTTTTATAAATGACATTGTCTCGCTTGTTACACTAGCTACACAGAGCTACACAGATGAGTTTGTTCGCGAACGATTGTGGTTTAGTCAGAGAAACCTCTACAGTACTTGAGCAGAAAGTACTCTAAGTAAGTTTGCAGAACATACAATCGTGATGCGACAGGTAAAACATGAACCTAAAAAAGGTCGTAACAGTCAGTCCTCGCATAACATGCAAGAAAAAGCGATTAACATATATATCCAAATTGGGCGCTTCACCCCGAAGAGAAGTTTAGAATTACACATATCCAGGAATAACATTCACTAACAATTTATTTTGAAACAGACAGATTAGCGATGCTTGTTCCTCCACATTTCGTAAACTTTGCTACGTAAAATACAAACTTTGAATATCACCTGCTAGCTTAAAATTACTTAGTTATATGGTATAAAATATGCTTGTATTAAATAGGACCCATACACTAAACACTGCAAGAAAATAATGAAGATAATCCAGAGAAAAGCTGCTTGCTTTATTTACTTTATGATTTAGCGCGGCGATTCCCCCACACAGCTTATGATAGAAAACGACATTCCGCTCATGAAAACACGTCGGCCGATGCTTCGCCTCAGCTTTTTAAAGTCAATAATTATTCATGAATCATTCAATACCAACGTTCTGTGCATGTGCCCTGCCCACGAAGCTTACAACTTATGGTCACACACACGCGTATACCCCTCTTTTTGTTTGGAGAGATACTTACAAATATTCTTTCTCACATTAGGAGTGTGTCTAAGTTTAACTATAGAAATGAACCTTCTTAAATCAGCTCATTATCGATACTATCTCTTCTGTTTAAAAATGTGTATATATTTTAACCGTACTTATATATTGGTATCATGTTGCCAAACACATATTATAACACTTTCTGCATTATGTTTTAGGTTTAGCGTAAGTGCGACCTAGAACTAACTGTAATAATACTGTGGTACTGGACTTCATGTTTTGTATATAAAATGGGTGCACTTCCTGCAAGGAGCGAATGTGGGTTTGAAGTATGTTTTAAATAATATTAAAATCAATAGCCCCTTTAGTATTTCGGAGAAGGAAGCGTCACCGCAGTAACGTGATTGCTAATGAGACTGCCATTGCGCGTATGCTCCTCACGCGCTTGGAAATTTATTTGGTGCATTAAGAAAGCACAAAATACAAAACAGTTGGCCAGCCTTTCTAGTTATTATTCTGTCCTGTCGTGTGAATACCGTTCTGAGATATGGGCCTGGAACCACGGACTAATTGTCCCGCGCGTGTCTCCGTCTTGGTAATGTGGATGCTTTATGAATAACGTACAGAATGCCGTACTTACTCTTTCTTCCAGGTTCCTCACCGTGCACTGGAGTACTTCAGCCTTAAGTCTCAATCTTAAAGCTAAAGGAAACGTAAAAAAGCAACAACTGTTCATGTGCACAAATATATTTCCAGAAACACACCAGTCTATAGTGGGTAGTAACATAAAAATGAGAAATATGTGTCACTTTCTGAACGAAAAATAAGGGTTATAAATTAGGCACTCAAAGAAAATCCTTAAAATGTCCCCAACAATTATTTTCGCTGCTTTGTCTGACTGCCACGCTTTAAATAATATTGCCTAATAATGTGCCTCTGTGTCCCTGATATTAAAGTGAAACCTGACGTTCTTGGCAATTTCTATACGAGATCCAGAAGTTATAATGGGTCAAAGACACTTCATCTACCCGCCACAGTGGTCTTAATATTACGATGATCGGCTGCAGACCCCCTGGCCGCAGGATTGAGTCCTGGGCGTGGCGATCGCATTTTCAATGGCAGCAAAAATTCTTTGAAGCCCGTGTACTAAGATTGAGGTGCGCTTAACCAAACCCCAGGTAGTCGAAATTTCCGAAGCCCTCTACTACGGCGTTCCCTACATTTGCATCGTTGTTTTAGGTCAATAAACCTCAACAACTACATTGTATATGAGTATAAGGAACATTTATTTTTCAATAAGCATTGCATATTTGTCGATGCCCAGATCAAGAATAAACTTGATCGTACTATAGCTGGCTCTGCTTTGTTGCAGAGATGAACAGTGGGGAGGAGCACTACTGTTGTGTTTGTGTAGCTAGAACTGAATTTTCGGGGTTTCACCGAGTACAGAGTGCACGATGCTTGGGAGGTGCGTAATAGACGCTTCCTAATAACACATGTTCTAATACAGCTGCCACGCGGGATTGACGACGTCAAACAACACTTTCACTTTAAGCACTCCTTTTTGCTTTTGCAAAAAAAAAACAAATAAAACGTGTGGGTGCGGTTGAAGAGTGATACAGTAATGATAAAATGAAGAGCTTATGTAACCATCGACTCGTGTGGTAAGCCGAAATCTTCCAGGAGTTTCTGCATTAAGGGCTTTTCGCCTTCCATGTGTCTGACCATGGTGTCAGCACACAGGGCCGTACGACAATTACAGAAGACTATGTGAGGTTAGGGCGGATCTGCCGCACATTTTGGGCCATTCTTGAAGGTGGCTTTTTTAGAAATCCGGAAAACTAAAGACCAGGAGCGGTGGGAGACTGTTTTGCGCAGCATATAGACCAGCAATGTCAGGTCTCGGCAGTTCAGCTGGTCGATGCAGCTGCCCTGGTAGACGCTCGATATCCCGTCTTTCAGGCGGAGGGGCTCTGTGCTCTGTCTGTCGATAGTGACAGCAAGAAAAGTTGATTCGCTGTCTCTGTCGTTCTTCCATCTTTGCTGAATAGTTGTAAAGCTAAGGTAGGGAGGATTTGCCAATCCACATAAATCCCTTTTACGAGAGATGTCCATGATAAAACGATACAATGAAACGTACAAGTAAAGACAACAAAGGGAGTGTCCTTTCTTATGATCGTGTTTTTTCAGCATGTACTCAATATAACAAACCTCAGAGGAAAAGCTGCACCGGAAAAGCTATAACTGCCTAAGCGCTGACATCTTGAAACATTTTTCATTGTTGCCAATACAATAGTTTAGAAAAGTGCTAAATATATGAAAAACATTCAAATTCTAGCAGTGTAAACCATAAACAAGCGTGTTCATATATCATGAACGGACAGATATCGTGTGATGTTTATATCAAATACTTTTACGAAAGATGCAATGCCTATGTTGTAACTTACTGTATGCGGAAAGGAGTGTTTGGCGGTTATGTCTTTACTAGGTAGTTACAACATCCTCGTACCATATCAATATTTGAGGGTGAGGGCGGGGCCATGCGAATAAGTACGCCGGTTTGCTCGCGCACGCGCTGTGCTCGCGTCCGTACTTGTTTATTGCTGTGAGCCAGCAACTCCACTTCGTGTGGCAACCCCCAACTACGATGTGACAAAGAGCCACAAAACAGATAAAAATGCCAGGGATGATTGTTGCATGCGATGGCGAGTGTAATTGAGACCACCCGAAAGCTGAGTATCATTCCATCATATCGGCACCCGTGTGGTTATAGGTTTTTTTTTTTTTATGCATGGGCGCTCAGAGGAGCTTTTCCTCTAGAGAAGTGTAATAACTGTATGCTCGTCACGTTTCACGGTAGGGGAACTAAATTAAGTGTAAGATATAAAGCTACACTAAGACCTACTCAAGGACCACATTAGCGCTGCATTAAGCACATAATTACAGCGTAATTCAATTGTTTTTCTCTGTCGTTCCACTTATAAATATATTATCTTTACTAGCTCAATTTATATTTCTTTCTTTTGCTTTAAAATGTTCCTTTCTTGTGCAGAGTAGCCTACCAGTGGTTGTATGTGCCATGAAAAATATCGGACTGAGAGCCTTTCCTCGCTTCTCTGTGCGCTCATAGTACGTATAAGGTTGTCTAATGTCACCAGGTTGGAGGACATCGAGCATTTTTTAACAGTTTTTAAACACACTTTTGAAAGTCTGTGGCCAATAGTTGACAATGTTTACTGACATGCATTACTTGTTGCAGTTTTTCGTACATTCTTCGCAGCAACCAAATCATTGGGCCATCTTTTGCGACTAGAGGTCAGTCTCAGAGGCAGTACGGTTTGGTATGCAACATGGACTTCACGAGCAATAAATATATCGGACAAGGCACGACTACCACGAAGCGCTCGAGGAAACTCAGAATATTGAATTTAAATAGTTGCCGAGTCATTGCAGAATTTTCCGCAATGACTGCGCGGATGAAGCTACTAGATCGGCTCATGACCGAGACCTGCGTATTCCCATACCACTCTTGAGAACGGACGCTGCAAGGCGACTACAATCACTTGCTCGCCGTATATATAACTCTCCTACAATAGACTACGCTGGGTTTCCCCAGCATGCGGCTGTATTAGATCGACCCAAACTTGCAACTTAGTTTGCCGTCCGGGCTCCCACGACGTGCTGAAACTTTGCTGTGTCACATGAGGTTGGACGTGGCATTTACTAATGCGTATTCTTGTCTCCTTGAAATGGTGAGCAGTTCGGCATGCCACATCTGCGCCTGCCAGAAGACGCTTGAGCACATTCTATGCCACTGCCCAGCATACCACTCTGAACGACGTATTATGGAAGCTAAGCTCTCTCAGCTGGATTCACGACCGCTTACTTAAAATAAGATCCTGGAACCTTGGCCGCCTGTTTCGCATACGCGCAAAGCCACGAAAGCCCTCTTGTACTTCTTGAGAACCACCGGACTTCACGAGCGCTTGTAAAAGAACAGCGTGAGATCGTGCTGTGTAGTCTCGAGCTCAATATCCATCCATCTATTTCTTACTTCTCTTTTTTTCTGTCTATTTGCTTTCTATTATTCTCTCTTTTTCCCACCCTAAGTGTAGGGTAGCCAACCAAGCCAAGTTTGGTTAACCTCTCTGCCTTTTCTCTCTATTTCTCTTTCTCTCTCTCTCTCTCTTGTGCTAAATTGAACGCTGCAGGCTACAGCTATAGCTCGGATATATTACTATTCAGTGATGCCTCAATAGTACTGCTTTTGTTTCATAGTTACAAGCTCATGGATCTCTACGAGTTTCTGTGTATTTCCGCTTAAGTATACGGTAACGAATTTAATTATATGGGTAAGTTTCTGTCTAAACTTATGTTAGCGAAAGTAGCGATAGCGGGATGCTTGCTGGAAGTATACTTGTTAGAGAGCAACGTACTCGAGCACGTGTTCAGCTTATGAGCTGTAAATTAAGAAGAATATTTACTTGGCGAACAAGGCTGCATCGCGTTCCATGTTTCCTCTCCCACTATTTCTTTCTTGAAGCGAAAAGTGGACCAAACATACGAGTCCAGCCAGTAAAACAGTATATTTGTGTGGAGTGATTTATGTTCACCTGCCAAGTTTATGCCACTCTTTACGACCGTCACTATATGAAGATTCTTTGCGCACACGAGTACTTGTCGACGTGTTGCTCGTCAGTTGGTGAATAGCGAAATATTCTATGGCCGCTTTCGGCACCCGAAAGACGTCGCGACTGCCCTTCTGTGAGCCTTACTTCTCTGAAAAAATTGCGCTGTCTGAGTACAAATATGACGAACACGTTTGTTTCTTCATGCTCTTTTCAACTCCACGTTGCCGTTGAAACATATATCATCCTGCAGCCCCCCCCCCCCCCCCACTCACTTCACCAATTTTTTCTTTCCATGAACATTTAGTTCAAGTAAAAAAATCTTTGGAACTGGGAGGTACTGTTACGATACAATGAATGCCTAATTGTTGACGGTAGAATTTGGGACAGCTAAAGCCATAACAAAGTTTCACGTCATCCTAGTCCTAACATAAACTGGGAAACCTTGTTGGTTTTCTGAGCCATATTACAGCGGGTTGTCGGCTTAGTAAACCTCTAAAAGGAAATCTGAACAACGTTTAAGATTTTTCAACAAGAAAAGTACTAGTAGAAAGCTGTGGCACGATGGCATGATTCATGAGAGAGTATATTGACTTAAAAGTCGCGAGTAACGTGTCAGTATTTGAGTGTTTAAGATGAAGGATCGACCACTGGCCCGAAGGTCGCGGGATCGATCCCCGGCCACAGCGGCCACATTTTTATGGAGGCTAAAATTCTTGAGGCTTTTGCTTAGATTTAAGGGCACGTTAAAAAAAAACCCAAGTGGCAGAAATTTCCATAGCCCTGTACTACGGCATCTTTAATAAACATGTGGTTGTTTTGGGACATTAAAAGGCAATAATTATTATTATCGAACTCGAAGGATGGTAGTAAACCCTTGTTTGGCAACTGTGAATTCTCTGACAGAATATATGAAGTAATGCGATAGCGATACTTGAGTGACTGGGAATCATTTTCTTGATCCAGTATCTCTCAGTTATAGCTATCACATTACATCTGACTTTGCACTGATTGTGCAAACACATGTGCAAAATAAACTTCTTTAGGGCGAGTATGGGAGACAGGAGTCTTGCCGGAAGATGTTACTCTGAGTAGGTGCGTAACAGAAACACTTACGACAAAATAAAGGATTCTGCAACGACTGGGCACGTACAGCGCATATTGCGCTCAACACCAAGCACAAGCCTAGCACCGTCACTTTCATGGTCGCTGCTGCTGTTATTCTGTGCGGACCTTGGTTACACGATGTGAGACACCCTTGGAGGACACCGAGCGTGTTTCGTTTTCCTTCTACCGCATTTGAAACAGCTGTCACGCCCCACTATTTGTATTGTACACCCTTCTTGTCATACATCTTTTGGGGAATTATTTAGTGAAATATCGGATGGAGCTTTCGTGATTTTAGCAATGCGTAGCATTAATTCTTATTCATTGGAATGCCAGCGCAACGGTGTGCCTAAAAATGATAAAAATTTATATATAGACAATTTTTAGCAAGCAAGCGATGTCCTGTACAGAGAACTGTCAAAGCAAGCATCTGCTGTTTTTTATGCGGAAAGAAAGAATAGAAGCCGTTGTTCTTCGAACAAAGCAGATGCTCAGCAGGCAGTCGATAACATGCAATAATCAGCAGGGCTTGAACAAGGGGGGGGGGGGGGGGGTTCATGCTAGAGCCATCGCTTCGATAAGAACACTTGTTTTTAGCAGCTGGAACGTTGGCGCCAGGCTCCTACTTGGTTGTTTTCTGTGTTGAAGAAGTACTTTTTTCATCGAAATAGAATTAAGTGCAGACAGTTCTCGTCGGCATTTTCTGGCTCTGGCAACGTCATTTCACTTTGTTATTACTACCACAAAAATAATTATAAGAAAGCAAGAGGATTTTAGTCTATAAAAATATCTTCCTAACTTATCTCGCTCATCATTGAACACTAATCCCAAATATCAGAATAATTGTAGGACTTCTCTTGCTCTATGAGCGACCTTTGTTGGTGAGTGGGTCTAACGTTTTCGCAAGTGAAAAGGTTCACGCTTCACCTAGTAAACACTGCTCCTTTTCGAGTAATGTGGGTATAGTAATGTGTGAGTGTGTAATAGGCTTTGGACAGACGAGCAACTTGTGATACACTGCCTCGTCATCAAGGCCGTATGAACATGTAGATGTCGCAAGCTGAATTCTGGATAATAGGCGTTTTTTGTGAGCAGTTCCACGTTGGAGACTTCATTTGAACGTTAAAAAAAGACAGGTTAAATTCATATGTTAGAACCTATGTAAAGTGAAGTTCAGCTAATAAAATGCTGTGCAATAAACATACATGCCCGAAATGCGTTTATTTTCTTTCTATACAAGTGACAAGTAAGCTCATTTAGTGTTTAGTTTTATGTACCCCAATGATACTAAAATTAAATGCATAAAATGTTTACACTTATAAATTGTTGTTCACACAAGCTACGCCGAAGTAATAGTAGCAGTTCGTGCCGATGCACACTCTAAGACGTTGCAGCGATCTCACGAGGTCGAATAGAATGCTTGATGCCTTTCGAAACGATAATTGTTATTACGGTTGTCTGCACGGCGTAGCATGGCATATCTGTGTATACGATGGGTATTTATGAGATAAAGGTCATTCAGTTGTGAAGGACCAAAAAAATTTTTGTTATTAAAATCTTCTGTTTTTGTAGAAACCTTCCTTAGTTTTCTTTCATATTGCGTTAACTTCTGCGACCTTTTCTTGACCTACGAAGCAGTAGCTTTTTAATTTAGCAGCTTTGATATTCGCTACATGGCATATGAACCACTTTACAACAAAGGTATTGATATTTTTGAAGACGATAGTCGTTCTTGGGGACCTTCAACGGAAAATTGTTGTCTGTTTGTCCACTTGTCTGTTTGTCCACCCTTAACGGTACTGGGCACTTTTAAACGGTGACAGCGGATATTCCTAACGGCCAACCTCATCCGCAGCGCCCACCAATCTTGCTCAAGTTCAGCGTTCATACTTGTGCTATTGTCAATTAAAAAGCGATTATCGCGCCTATCTGAGGCACAGTAACAACACGTATATATTCTGTATGTGCGTCTTTTACTAGAAAAGACATACTTAAGTTATTCTAAGGACCATAGTACTTATCACGTGGCGCTTATCATGTAACGCTTGCACGAAAAAGGAAGCGTTCACAACGCTTTGCCAAGACGACGCGGTGGTGGCACCTACCCGTCGCCTTGCGTTCTACACCTTATTACATCTGAGACGGGCGCGCACGCCCGCGCACGCCCGTCTCAGAACCACGCGTTTTGTTTTCCAAGATAACTGCCAGATAGCGCGCATGTCTCACGTGTGACGTGACTTCGTGCACTCGTTCGCCTCCGCTGCACGCTCGAGGCAGTCTAACGCAGCGCCTCCAGAATACCATTCACCGATTATTTTTGCGCAGTACATTAAATGAACGTTTTGTTCAATCTTTTCAGACGCAAGACTATCGTCTTTAGACGACATTTGCAGATTAAAATACAGATACTGGGCCAATTTTTTTCAAGGCGAATGTCTCAGATGCCTCATCAAATGCACAAATTGACCATCGGCGTCCAGTGTCCGTGGCGTCGGGGTCGAGTGACGCAAAATATCATCATCAAGTGATGACGCCATCAGAACACCACAGATACCAATTGTCTGACATCACATGATGACTTCACACGCTAACGTCGTACCTTGGTCAAAAACGTGCCGATCACGAACGCAATGCAAAACAAGTGGAGGTGCCTCTCAGATTTCGGAGGCAGTGAAAAATCGCATTACGTGCAGGAAGCTTTCTGACACATTGACTGCCAAGAAAAAGAAGACAGCTTTCACCCGTGACTCTTCTTCGGTGATTGCGTGAGAGTTTTCCCGTTTTGATTAAAAATAAAGGTGTCATTGCATGCAATATTTATTTTGTTTAGAATGTGTGCTCTACGTTGATATGGTATATGACTACACTTTTTGTTTTGTACATTTGACCAACCATTTTTGGAAGTCGTCCCGTCATTGGCTAACATTTCTTTTTCTCATTTCTACAACTCAATGAAAGAGACAAAGGACAATGAACGCTGAAATATATATAAAAAATTGAACGTGATCTGCTGATGATCTTTTTGCGCAAAAAAATGAATCACAGCACGCACTAGACAAGTTGCCGGAGTGACGAACTTCGTGGATATTGTCGTCTATGTTCATCGACGAGCCAACAACTGATGGATCCCGAAAGTACCTGCAGGAGGAACCAATTGAGATCTCTGCGTGAGTGCAGCTGTGTTCTGAACCACCAGTAAATAAATATAATCAAATAGCCCTTAATTTAGTAAATATGTCTAGTGTGTGCGAGAGTAGAAAGAAATAGCAAGTATGGCTTGCATTTACGATTTCTATGCCATGTATCACAGCAGCATGCAAGACAACGCAGGAAAATCAGCCATGAACAGACACACACCTCGTAGTACATACACAGTGGCACATACTGAGTGATCAAATTAAAGAATATGAAAATTTCAATCATCTGCGTTTTTAACGAGTACATACTTCTCAATGCACATGGGCCTCTAGCCCTTCGTCTACATCAAAATTCGGCTACCATAGCGGTGATCGAACCAGTGACCTTCTGGTCAGCAGCAGAGCATCATAACCACTCTACGGCTCGGGCAAACACACACGCACACACATACAAAAGTTGAATAACTGTTGATTAGCAAACTTATCATTGAGCACTACATTTTATACAGACTGGTAAGCGAAGAAAAAAAAGCGAAATGAAACATTCAGGAAAAACTAAAAAATTTGAGTGTTTCACCAAGTTGTCAAGCGTTCCAGACAACAAATAGGATGCAATCATGGCAGTTAACTGTAGCTATAACACAGCTATGTAAGTGCGCCAAGAATATTCCTACTAACACCAGCGCGTGCTTTGCTGACAAAACTAAAGTGTGTTGATTTATGCTAAAAAATTAGGGGGAAAATTGAGGTGAAGGCAGAGAAGTTAGCCAGGGTAAGTGTCGACTGGTTGCAGTGCGACGTAGGAAAGGTAAAAAAAAATGACAGGTGGCGTTACGACCATCCCCTCCGTAGCAGAAGGTATGAGCCATGAGCCACAAAACTCTAGCTTTGCCTAATGGCTTGCCTGTTTATAAGAAATATTTTTTACTCAAAACAAGCCCATGTGTATATTGATAGCTTAGGTAATTGTGTGGATGTTTTAAAAATAAGAAAACGTCTTAGATGTTTTACTCTACGCCAGCTTGCAGGGAGAAGGCAAGCACGTAATTAATCTAAAATTCATATATAACTCAGTCTTCTTTGATGCCCCTAAAGCAACCTCGTTCGTTGACGTTGATGTATAGACATGTTTAAACCGTAGGCTTGCACTCAGGTTGGTTGTATGTCTCGCACTGCACCAATTGAAAGATGTAAACGAGCTCGGGTCACGTAACAAATTAAATGTGAATCTATCTGAAAGATATCGCAAAACAACGTAAACGTGACGCGCGCCGCCATCAGTTAGCTTGCACTCTGTAAGCTCTGCAGCTCGGGCATATTTTCACAGTTGAAAGACAAGCGCTGGGTTAGCGTCCTAAAGGGCATCCAGCAATATCTGTTTTGGCGTTGTCTTAACAGTGTACTGTTGATTGTCATGAAATGACTTTCAGGAAAGCTTAAGCTTGGGCTAGCTGATACGTCGTTCAAAGGTAATTGCACTTAGTAAAATACACCAAGGAATAACGAAATTACAGCACAGGACAAGATGACCGCTTGCTCTGCCCCTTTTTTTGTTTTCGCTAATTATTGGGGCAATTTGCTCAGCGCAACTACACTGGAATATCCCAAAACACAGAATTCTCATTTCAGCTGTCTTTCACGGGCAGCTTGCTGTGGGCATATGCTGCCGGTCTCGTGCTTTTATCTTTTAAGCGTAAAGAACAATAAAACCGGGAGCGAAAAGCGTCGAACTGCAAATGCGATAAGCGCTTCTGAAACCATTTGTAAACGTCGCAGTTGTTGCACGGAAAGAGTTATTATTAAAAGTTATCTGATTAACAAAAATATGTGTGAGCAATAAAAAGCACTGATCAAACTGCGCGACAATCTACATTGCTGTCCGCCTCGGGGGAACAGTGAGTACGGCAATCCCGTCCACTGTGGGCACGCGAAAATCTTTCCGAGACTGTCATCAAACCAACTCGCCCAACTTTCCATACTATTAGAGTAACTACGGTGCTCGGCTGCTCACCCAAAGGTCACGAGTTTGATCCCGGCCGTGGCGGTCACATTTCGATAGAGGCGAAATGGTAGAAGCCCGTGTACTGTGATGTCAGTACACGTTAAAGAACACCAGATGGTCGAAAGCTTCGGAGCCCTTTACTACGGCGTCTCTC